AAGGCTGTTCCTGTCCAGGCTGTAGGGGCCCAGCCGGGTCGCACTGTGGGTCTCACTGCTCAGCTCCCAGTACAGCCGCTCTCTGTCCACCCCAGAGCCTGTGGGCTTGGAGCGATGGGTGCAGATGAGGTCCACTCTGGTGGCTGATCCGTCCTGCTCAGGCCTAGGGAGGGGCACATGGATAGGGACATAAGCAAGACTGGTCAGGAGGGTGTCTTCTTAGAATTATAGCTGAAAAGGCACAGAGCTGAATTAGATTGCTTAGCAGGCAGAAATAATAAATTTAAAAAATCTAGAATGTATAAATTATCTGTAGATGTAGAAGGTGAACTAGGACAAGTATGCGCAGGGCCCTTTTATTCACTGTTCACATAAGGGTTTTAGTATCTGTTACTGGTAATATTTGAGGAATATTTCAAATCTCTGTGATCAGATTTAGAGCAGGTGCATAACCTGTACTGCTTAAGGATCCATAATGGGAAATTATAAAATCCTCTAATATTTGAAGTTATTTTAAGAGTATTATGATACATCAAGAAAGTTCAGATTTTGAAGCATTTTGGATTTTGTATTTTTGGGTTTAAGGATATTTATCCCATACCAGCCTCATACCATTCTAGATGTGGCCAAGGGAAATAACAAACCATTCGGGCAGCCCAAGAGCTCTGCCTATATATTGAGTGCATCAATATTGAGCACTGGGACTGTCGTTTAAGAATTTGGTAAAGCATAAAATCTTCATGTATGCTTTCATCATTTTTCAGAGTACAGAATGATTTGGGAAATTCCAGACATTCACTGCTGGGGAATGTCTACCTTGGTGAGAATCAGAGAAAGGTAGAACAGCAGCCTGAGAGAAGAAAACCTGAGGAGAAAGCTCAGCGGGTCCAGCATCCCCTGGGCGCAGAGCTGCTCCACCAGTCAGGTAGGGAACAAGGTCGATGCCTGGACATCTTACCTGAGCGAGGTCAGACTGCAGCCAGAGAAGAGTGGGCTGATACTGGTGTTCTTCATCAGAGGCCCAAGCTGGGGAGGATGGAGCGGGAGGTGAGCGAGAGGGTTGAGCAGCTAGGGAAACAGGAGGAGTGGGCTGCAAAACATCTCTGCTCTCACCAGGTGCTGCAAGATGGCCTCGGTTTTGTTGAACCTGAGGGATCCTGGACGGTCCATACCCGGCATGAACTGCAAGTTCGTGATGGTGAGGTTGATGGTAAAGGGCACCAGAGTAGGGCTCATGGCTGCAACATGAAAGGCAGGAAAGAGAATCTGTAGTGAAGCCTCCCAAGTTCTCTGTCCAGGGCATCTTCCAGGGAGCCCCAGCCCTCACACAGAGGCTCCGCTTCTCCACCAGAGGGCGCCAGAGAGCTGGACTGGAGCTCCTGGGCAGTTGGGAACCACATTTAGAGTCCTATGCAACCAGGGCATCCCCAAGGCTTACTCAGAATTGGAGTCAGGAGAAGTAAATGCAAAGTTTAAAAGCGGACAAAATACACATGTTTCCCATTCAATTACTTTAAAAAATAATCAGGAGAAATTCAAAGTCAGTGAAAATTTAAAATGTTCATGCCTCCTTCCCTATAATGATAGAAAGCTTTTAATGAAAACTTATTAAACAATATTAGCTCAATGCAGAACAGGGTTTGGGGTGCATGTTCAGTGATGTGTCATGTCAAGTGTTCTATTTCACTCATTATCACCACTGTCTTCACTCTCCCCACCATTTTGTGACTATGTCGTTATCAGCACCATGGTCATCCCCATCCCCATCATCACCAGGAGAACCATCCCAGCAGCAGCAGCGGCATCACAGCCACTGTCTTCACCATCACAGCATCATGAGCTCTCTGAGGACACAGGTGACCTCCTTGCCCCGATGGATCCCCAGACCTAGCTCAAGTGGAACCAGGATTCAGTTGAGGCGGTGGCCTGATTCCTTATCCCTAGCTTTGCTGCGAGCTTTCCATCTCTGAGTGAGCCACGTGAGAGGTGTTTGCAGGATCAGGCCTGTTTCTCACAGAAGTGCCAGGCACCGGTACTTACTTGTGGGGATGGAGGTGGAGAAAGGAGCCCCAGAGGTTCCCAGGTCCAGTGTGGAGGTCCCAGGAGCTGAGGAGAAGCTCTTATGAGTGAAAGCTCCAAGGCATTCTCCAGGCAGAAATCAGCAGGAGAGATTCCTTATGGGGCTTGCTGCACATGGGGCTGAGATGGAACTGCTCTGAAGCTGGGGAGGCACGGAGAGTAAATAACTTTTCCCCCACAGCCTTTGGTCCTGAAGAAGACATCATGGGGCATGAGAAGGGGTCAGCTCCTGCTCTGCCTGCTGTGGGGACATCAGTTGAATACTCACTGCTGGTGAGGAGTGCAGAGCCCTGATGAGTGAATCCTGCAGTGAGAAGGAGGAGGACAGTGGGTTAGGATAAAGGGAGAGGTAGGTATCAAACAGAGGGACACTCTGGTGCAGTGGGAGGGAGATTCATAGAGCATCATCTGTAGAACTTTTTATCAGGATGCTCACTGCAGAGAAAAGGCTCTGAAGAGGAAGCTAATCCAGTAGGAGGAAGAAGCCATCATGAGGTCCATAGGAGTCAGCACACAGAGAGCACATGGCCAAAGCCTCAAATGCCAGGGTGGAGAGGAGAGACAATCCAGAGAGGAGAGTCCACCCGGCCTGGGGGAGGAGACCACAGCCACATCCCGATGCTCACCATTGACATAGAGACTGTCCCTGTCCAGGGTGTAGCGGTCCAGGAGGGAGACACCGTGGGTCATCTGGCTCAGCTCCCAGTATAGCCGCTCTCTGTCCAGTCTGAAGCCTTCAGGTCCAGGGTGATGTGAGCAGACAGCGTCCACTCTCGTGGCTGCTCCATCCCTCTCGGGCCTGGTAAGCACCGTACATGGTGGGTCCAAAGTTCTCTCTCTCTCTCTCTCTCTCTCTCTCTCTCTCTCTCTCTGTCTCTTTCTCTGCCAGCCCTAACAGGAAACTGGATAAACAGTAATCAACAAGCCAACTGCTGTCTTCAGGGAAATTCTCACCATAAACCATAGTTAGAATTATCATGCCAGATACCCCTCACTGAGCTGGCAGAAGCCTCCTGAAGTACTGGAGGCCCAGATGATACAGTGTGGGTTCTTTCCTTGGGAGCCAGGGCTCACACGATGCCAGACAAATCCTGACATGGATTCTGATGGACACACAAAGGTCCTGAGGGCTGAGCTGCAACACATGGGAGTGACTTCAGAAAGCTGATCATGGCATGGTAAGTGACATTTTTCAGAGAGGTGGCATTGTCAGAAACCTAAACGTACCCAGTTAGATCCTGTGGCCCAGCCAGGCTAGGACATTACTCCAGAAATGCAAGGATGTTGAACGGGCTAAGAGAGATCCCTGTTTGGTGAGTCTGTCTGCTTCCATGGCTGGTCCAACCTGAGGTCTAGATCGCTTCACGACCCAGAACCTATCCCTGGATACAGGACAATGACCACCTACTCAGCTGCTCATATATTATTGGACAATTCAGAGAAAGGAGCTCTTAAGGCCCAGGCCTATGGAGGTTGGCTCATAGAGTAACAGTTACCAGCAATCCAATACTCACTCCCCCAAGATCCAGCACTTTGTATACATAATCATGTCATCTCATTCTGAAGGCAAATTTATGGGCTGATATGTTCCAGTTCTCACAATGATTATGTTTCCTGTGCTATATATATGTATATATGTATATATATATATATACACATATATATATATATCACAGTTCTATGTCATTGAAACGATAATATATAGCTACATACTATAAATATAAATTTAATATGGGAAATATGTGTGATGTGTTTATTTTATATTTCATGTTATTGCATTAGAATTATTTTCTATAGTATCATACCTATTATTACACATTATACTTATACTAATATTTATGTTAAACTAGTTACGTGTAACTTTTATTATTTCTTCTTCAGCTAACTACTACATTTTTAGTAATAGTACATAGTATTTAGTATGTGATGTATACCAAATATATACTGCCAGGTATTTATAATATGCATAGTAACCATATATAGCCATATATTTATAAATTTGCATATAGTTCATATGATCATCCCCTAAAAATATATAACAGTAATGTTGGTTTTTATAAATGTCTCCAGATATATAAATTAAACATGTGTGTATATATATGTACAGTATGGTTGTATACACCCCCCCACACACACACACACATTCCCTATCCATCAGGAATTGGGTTTAGGATCTCCTATGGCTAGTAAAGTCCTTGGGTGCCCAAGACCCTTATGTAAAATGAGGTAATATTTACAAAGAATCTGCATGCATTTTCCTGCACTTTAAATCAGTTCTAGATAATTTATCTACCTAATACAATTCATTTCGCTATTATATTGTATTGTTTAGGAAATAATGATAAGGGAAAAATCTGATGTTCAGGACAGATGCAATTTCTGTTTCTGAGTATTTTCAATCCTTGCTTAGCTGAATTCATGAGTCTGGACCCGACCAGCGTGGAGAGCTGAATCCATGATGGGGAAACAGGGGACAGAAAGCTTCAAGTGGGTTCCCAAGGTCACAATCACAGCTCAGTGAGTGGCAGAGCAGGGATTGAAGCTCTGCTCTTTCTGAAGTTACTGAGGCTGTTAGTACGGACCCCCTATCACCTCTTCCCCAGGAAGAAAAGGAAGCTGGAGGTAAATGGCTGTGACAAGAGCCAGACCTAGAGATTCTGTGAGTCAGATGTAGGAAGTGAGAACGACAGGTGGAAACACAGAACACCTTTCCTAGCAACCTGGAACTATACCCTTCCCACAGCCTGCTCGCTCTGGCCAGGTCAGGTCTCCATGGGCTGAGTTTGATCCACACAGGAGCACATCTCCCTGTTACAGTATGTGCCTTCCTTTCCTCCCCTCTTAGGTTCCCTGAGCAGTGGCAGCTTTCCATATCCTGCAAGGCCATAATGGTAGCTGAGGAGGCAGCAATGTCTAAGGAGTAGGAGTTTGGACGTAGGAACCAAACTGCCCTCATTGCTGTGTGTGACCTTGCACAAGCCCCTTATTTCCCGAGCCTCAGTTTCCCCTTCTTCATGGGGCTGTTCCATGGACTGATGAAGCATTGACTAAAGCATACATAGTACAGTGTGTTCGGTCTTAACTACAGCTACTGGTGCTGTTGATGGTTAGTATCCATGGATGGTGGTGGTTCTGAGTAGGGATAATCAGGGAGCCCACAGCTTAGCCCGTGGTTTCGGTCTCATCCACCTGTTGGGCTGTGTTGTTCATGAGGAGGACCTCACCTGAGTGAGGTCAGTCTGCAGCCTGCATAGCGGGATCCCAGACTGCTCTTCTGGAACAAGGGTTGGAGCTGTGAGGAAAGAGAGGAAGTGAGAAAGAATCAGTAAGAAGAGCCAGGAGAAGCAGAGACATTGTTTAGATGGACTGGGCAGAGCTTAGGTGTCTGGGGGATGGCAATAGAGGTGTGGCTTGGGGCAAGATGGGTGTGGTGGTGGTGGGGGGTGAGGTGAGTGTGGCTGGCACCAGCCTGAGTGCGGTGGGCAAGATTTGAAACCTGTGGGCTGGACCAGAGTGGGGTAGGCGTGGCTTAGGTGCAGTGGGCGGGGCTCTCACCAGCTTCTGCAGGATTGTCTCAGTGCTGTTGAACCTCCTGGAACCCGGGTGCTCCATGTTCTCCTTGAATTCCAGGTTGGTGATGGTGAAGTTGAGGGTGAAGTGCATCAGAAAAGGGGCCTCTCCTGCAGCCATGGAGAAGAAAAGGAGACCATAAGTCAGAGATGTGATTACCATGGTCAGGACCACATTAATGAGTCAGATCTGGTTTCAAATTCTCTTTTCCTTTCCCCAGCTGTACAACTATGGACATGTTATCTGACTGTACCTCAGTTTCCTCTACTGTAAGAGGGGGAGAATCATACTTTACAGGGAAATCGTGATGGTTACATGATTGTTTGTTAAAAAGGTTTGCACATCTCAGCAGCATTGCGGTGCATGGGGGGAAGAAGCCAATCCCAAAAGTCACAGGGTTTGTATGTTTTCATTTATGTAACATTTTCAAAATAAAATTATGGAGCTGGAGAACAGACTAATGGCTATCAGAGCTTGGGCTAGGTTTGGAGTACTTTTATATCTTGATTGTAGTGGTGGTTAAAGGAATCTGCCCACGTGATGAAAGGGTATAGAACTACATACACACACACATATCTGCATGTAAAATTTGATGGAGGTCTCATAGATTTTAAGAATATCAATTTCCTAATTTTTATATTTTACTAAATTTATGCAAGATATAACTATGGGGAGAAAACTGAGTGTAGAATATAGGGGAACTCTGTATTATTTTTTCGGCATCTCCTGCATCTGTAATTATTCATTCAAAATGAAAACTTCAAAAAGAATATAGTACATCTTATGCCACATAAGAAGTGCTGAATATTCTGGCCATCTTTTATTAGTATTACAATTATCAATTGTGATTGTATCTTCCATTTCAGGCTTATTCAACATACTAAATTTGGTGAAGGACTACATCTGATTTACTAAATGTCTAATCCTCTATGCCTAGTATTGAATAGATAAGCAATAAATATTTGTTGAATTAAATTCCCTGGGAGTTACTGTGCTAAATTCTTAAATATATAGTTATGCATCATTTAAAGATGGGATATGTTATGAGAAATGTATGGTTAGATGATTTCATCAGTGTGGCAGTGCTATAGAAGGTACATAGACAAACTGAGACAATGTCACTAAGTCATAATCTTATGGGGTCACCATCACATGTATGATCATCCTTGATAAAAATATTATGTGGCACAGGATTATTTTTCATTTGATGTTCAAAATAAATTTGTGAGATATAAATAGCCTTGTTTGGGAGGTGAGGAAACTTGGGTACAGAGAGGAGGTAAGTAAACTGCTCACGGTCAGCACAGCTGGAGAAATGAAGAAGACAACAGCCTATATTCTTGAGATTTCAGAGCATGGCAGGAGGTGCCTGTGACATTTCCAACCCAGGTATGAGCTTTGAGGTATCAGCTGGGTAGGTTGGCTTCCTAGAAGGAGAAGAATTCATCTACCTGTGGAGCTCATGAAGTGGTCTTGTACTGCAGGGGTCCATGGTGAGAGTGTAGAGGTCACAGCATCTAAATAGAAACAGAATAGAATGAGAAAGGGTATTGAGTTTGGACATTAACACTACCATGAGAATCTTCCCTGCCCATCATGGGCAATTGAGTGTATGGGGGTGGATGGGACAAGATGGTCCATTGCTTTCTTTTTTCCACAGGGACTCAGGGTGGGAGATCAGCTGCTGGTCACAAGGAATTTGGTGAACACGTGATCATCAGAGTTCTAAATACTCACTGCTAGGAGTGGGAGTAGAAGCTCGAAAGGTATAACCTGCAATGAGAAAAGGAGACACAATTGAGATACAGTAGGAGAGACATGTCCAAGATACAGCCTGAGATACATCAGCCCCCATCTCCAACTGAAACTTTGAGTCCACATAGTTGGACATTTTTGACGTATTTTGTTCCTAAAGGCAGAATGATTGAAGATCCAGTTTCTGTCTTTGTGGGCTTGTGGTTTATTTGAGGAGATAAACATACACAAATTTCTACCACATGTATGTGCAAACTATGCTTTTAAAAGGGCTGGAGTGGGATTGTGAGGCATAGAAGGGTGTGAAGATGAATGGTCAGACTCTTGAATCCCCACTGACTTCAGCCTGAGGGATTTCCTCTTCCATGTGTCTGGAGAAAGGCTTAGACAAATGTGCAAATCACAACTCTGAGAATTCAGAGATACAAGGGACCTGCAAAATGGAAGACTTACAGGTGTCCTTAGTCATCTAGGGAGGCCACTGAGGTGGAAGATAATACATAGGCTGGGGATGTGGCAGACTGAAGAGCCTATGCCTCTTCTTGGGGGCAGATTCTCAGCTTTGGCTCATGGTTACTAAAAGGATGCTCACCATTGACGTAGAGACTGTCCTTGTCTAGGGTGTAGGAGCCCAGCTCAGTGACACCATGGGTCTCATGGCTCAGCTCCCAGTACAGCTTCTTCCTATCCAGCTCATGGCCCATGGGATCAGGATGGTGAGTGCAGACAGCATCCACTCCGGTGGCTGTTCTGTCTTTCTCAGGCCTGGGCAGAGAGGGACATAGGGATGGGGAGTTGGAGACTCTAAGCTATGCCCCTGAAAAAGCCCCACTGAAAGAAGGGACCGAGAAAGCAGGAAGACTGGTGGGTAATCAAATGGCCTTGCTGCTAGAACTGGCCTGGAAACAAATAGGACAGCCACAGTCACTGAACAAAGAAGGGAATCAACAAATGTCAATATTTGTACTATATTTTATTTTTTGTCTTTATTTTTGCAGTACTAGGGATCAACCCCAGGGCCTGGTACATGCTAGGCATTCACTGCATTATCACTGAGCTACATCTCCAGCCCCTGGGGTAAACTTTAAAGTTATAAGACATTGCACACCTTGACACCAGAAGCATGGTGAAGGGGCTTGAAGAAATAAATTTGGGAATTTGCCAGTGTGAAAGAAGGCAGTGGTGGCTTGCTTAAGTCTCAGTTCTGTTACTCTGGGTAGGTTTCTCAACCTCGCTGTGGTTCATTTTCTTCATCTGTGAAATGAGGCAATAGTACAGATTCAACAGCACTCCACACATATATATGTGCTCAATAAAAGCACTCATCCTTATTTCCATGGAAGGAAAGAATGATTTGCATTTTCTAGTCTTGAAGGGAAGGAGACAGAGTGGGGCTGGTGGCCAGGTGTCCCTGGGATGGTGGATGCAGGGTGGTCATCTCTCACATAGCACATGACCTACAGGTCTACTCTGGAGTTCTCACCTCAGCAGGATCAGTCTGCAGCCAGAATACAGGGGCCCAATACTGCTCTTCTGAAATAAGGATTTCAGCTGAGGATGAAAGAGAGAGAGAGAGAGTGTGTGAGAGAGCAGTGAGACAGTGTACCAAAGGAATAAGGACAAGATTGAGCTGGGACAGGGTAGGCATTGGAGAATTCTCACCAGGTGGCTAAAGATCCTCTCTGTGGTGTTGAATATCTCAGATCCTGGGCGCCCCATGTCCTTCTCGTGATGCAGGTTGGTGATAGTGAAGTTGAGGGTGAAGGGTACCAGAGGCAGATTTGCACCTACAGTAGGAAAGACAGGAGGGAATTTCATTATGAGCTCTGGCCTGGGATACCTATAGTCAAAGGGCAGATTGTATTAAGTTGTTATACAGTAAATACCTAAAAGTGTTTTATCTTACAAAACTAAATCTCTTTTAAAGTGGTTTCCATTTCCCCTTTCCCTCCCCAGCCACTAGTGACCATCACTGTACTTTATGTGAGTTTGACTACTCTATATACCTACTATGAGTAGAATCATACAAGTAAAGAAGCTGTGGCCAGCGTATTTCAATTAGAAGGGTGACCTCAAGGTTTATTCATGGGCATCATGGGTCAGAATTTCCTTCATTTTTAGGGTTACATAATAGCCATGAAAGATGTCAACTACATATATTATTGGTTTTGTAATATTTCAAATTGTGGTAAAATATACATGTTGTGAACCTTACATCTTAACCATTTGTAAGTGTACAGTTCTGTAGCATTAAGTATATTCACTTGTTGTGAAACTGATGTCCAGAACATTTTTACCTTGCAAAACTGAAACTTATGCCCATTAAACAATATGTCCCAATTTCCCACATCCCTACCTGCTAGAAACTGACACTGTATTTTCTGTTAAGGAGAATTTGACTATTCAAGATACTTCCTATGAATGGAGTCATATAGTATTTGTCATTTTTTTGTGTTGCTATCTCAGTCCACTTAACATGTTGTCCTCCAAGTTCATCCGTGTTATAAAATGTACCATAATTTCTTTCCTTTTTGGGCTACATAATAATTATTCATGTCAGTGGACACTTGGGTTGTTTCTATCTCTTGGCTATTGTGAATAATGCTACTGTAAACATGGATATACAAATAGAAATATATTTATTTTTTAGTTAAATAGACAACATCACTGTGCCATACCTTTTTTTGACATAAGGTTAAATGACATAACCTATGACATAAGGTTAGGGGTTTGGCCAATAACTTGGCCCAGATTTAAGGGCTTGGGCAGAACAAATTTCACGGCATAGATCAGGGCCCTGCAGCAGGTTCTTGGAACCTCAGGAGCCCTCAGATCCACACCTGGGAAAAATGAGGAGACAGGGCAAGAATCAAATTCAGGGCTGAGATCATCAATGATTTTCTGACGTTCAGTGGAATCTATGAATGTGAACATTTACAGTGACGGCTTTGCTCATTCATTGGCTCCTTCAATGAATCCAAAGTGAGTGTGTGAAAATTGAATAAACCAAATAGAAGGAAATTCCATAGAGGAAAGTTATCAAGGTGATAAGACAGACAAAACCCATGGTCCAGGTGTGAATGCAGATAAAGAACTTTTTCGTAAAAGGTGATCCAGAGAATGTGATGCTTGAGCTTAGGTTTGGAAAATGAGAAGGTACCGGAGAGAGCTGGTTTTCAAAAATAGCAAGTGCAAGGGTCCTGAGGTTGGACAGAAGTCAGGGTGCCAGAAATATAACTAAGTGTCTGGGGGTGGCCAAAGGTAAGACAGTGGGGGAAAGAGCAAAACAGACTAAGATGAGTGGTGGGTGGGGACCAGACCAGGCAGTGTTGAAGTTTCTTAGCCCCCTAGAGAATATTTCTACCTGTAGAGTTGGGGATAGAGAATGTCAGAAGCCCTGGAGAGAATGTGGTGGTCACTGGACCTGAGGGAAAAGAACATGGGAAGAATGATTGGGCCCCATCCTAGAAGAATGTAAGGTAAATGCTGTTAATTGGAATCTAGGCTCTATCTTGACTCAAACCAAGATCTTGGATGTATTGTGGAGGTGCTCTGAGGTACATAGAAAGGAGACAGTGTAAGTGTTTCTTCTGAGAATAGAGCTCTGGGGAATAGGGCTCCTGGGGGCTTTGGGATAGCCGAGCTTTTAATACTCACTGCTGGTAGTAGGGATCCAGTACTGGTGGTTATAACCTGCAGGTAGGGAGAAAAGAGCAAGGAAGATCTATTATGGTAGGTAAGGGTAAAGGGAGGAGAAGATGGTAGACCTAGAATGGAAGTCATCAAGAAACTTCATGAGATTCATGGATAAACAATAAGGCTACATTTTACTTGGTCCCTATTATGTGTCTCGTCTCTTTTTTTTTGGTACCAGAGATCGAATTTGGGACCTTGTGCTTGTGAGGCAGGTGGCAGAACCACTGAACTAAACCACCAGCCCAGTGTCTCGTCTTTTGATAGTAATGATAAGACATCATCATCATCATCATCATTTTTGCCAATACAATGCACTAAGAGGTTCCTGCATTGACCTAGAGGGATACACTCTCCACCAACAATAACACTTCCCAGGCTACAAGGGTAAAACACGCTCATTTATGAATGAGTGTGCATGTTCAACTTATTTATATTCTCTCTGTCTGTAAAGATAATTTAATTCTGTCTTTGTTATCTCGGCTACTTTCCTTCACAAAATATTATGATAGTATAATGTTTTAGTTTAGTTTCTAGTTTTTCATTTTAAAAAATATTTAATAAATTTTATTTTATTTAATCCCCCCCAAATTTCTTGTTTTTCTTGTGATGGAGAATTGACAAAATTGTGGCAGGTTGAGAGAGAGGCATTGGGAGGTAGAATTACAGAGTGATGGAAGGAAAGAATGTAATGTGTGGCTTGGGATATTAGGGGAAATTTGAGCAAAGGGATGGAATAATGTAAAAGAAGAGAGCTTTAGGGGTTAGATGGATGTAGCAACAATGGGAGCCTAAAAGGAATTAGGGAAAATAGAGTTTTTCATGAGTTTTTTTCCAGGTTATTGACAACATTTCTTCTGATCTCCAAGAAAAGATGAAAAATAAATACTGGCTCTAAGGGAGCCCTGTAATTTACTAGGGTTACTCCCAAGTTATCTCATTTCATTACCGGAACAATCCCAATGGTATTTTATTATATTCTGCATTTGCACCATTAAAACCTAGAGGGGTTACATAGCACGTTGAGTATCACACAAAACAAATTTGTCACTTCACAAGATCCACATTGTTTACCCCTGCTCTAAACTAGCTCCAGTGTTGGAGCAAACCTTTTATGGACACAGAGGAGGATTTTCTATGGATAATATAGTAAAATACATATATCAAACCAGGCATAAGAGAAATATCCAAGTAGATGTAGAAGAAAAATAAATACTCATGCACTGGGTCAGGTTGTTGGAGGCCGTTTACTGCCCTTGCCTGTCCTGGTAGCTTGAGTTTGCTCTGTTTGCAGGATCAGCAGTGTTGACTTGTGGTTAGGAGGCCAGGATTTAGACAAGTCTCCAACCTTTGGGTGGAGTCTTCATTCTGCCATGTGTTATATCTGGATAACCCTGGGCCAATGACTTTCTCCATGTATTGTCCCTGAGAAAAACTAAGGCCTGTGGCACATGTCACTGAAACACCCTCCTCTGCATTCCCCAAACTCTTGCCAAGCCAAAGAGACATTGTAAGTGGACAAGCACTAGGATATCCAGATTAGAATTACCCGAGGGATACTGGGAACTGGGCAAACTAGTGTTATCTGTAGAAACTGTCATCTTGCCTGTATGCTGTCAGCTGTTCTTTGGAGTGCTGGTTATACAGAGGGACAAAGCAAGGTCATGATGTCACTGCTATGTAGTTCACACTGTAAATGCCCCTTTCTGCAATAGCTGAGTGGGCTCCAGAGCACCATGGAGTGCTGCAATTCAGCCAGCCAACTGGGCACTTTGAGTTCTCTCTGGGAATTTCCTTGTCCACCTGCTGCCACCATGCTCTGGTGGTTTCCTGTCTGGTTTACTACCCGTAGACTTTGTAGTGATTAGTGGTCTGGCCTGTGACTACTGCCTATTCCAAGTACTTTCTAGTAACTTTCTTATCCAGCCCAAGACCACTGGGCTCTATCCTTTTCTGCTAGTAAGCCTCCTTTCATTTCTTGATGATATTTTAATAAGCTGTATCTCTCACAAGCCTTCTCTAGGTATTTTCTTTAGTCTCTGGGGAGCTAAATTCACTGCCCTAGCACATCTGGGCCACAGATGAGGCACTCCCTGAACACATAGTAGTTCTAGGTAAAAACAAATATAACCCACAGAGAACTGGATAAGACAAACATGAGATAGTGCAAATAAAGTTTGTATCACAATTCCTGGCACACAGGAACATTTCAATAAATATGAGTTGCTATAAAGGTTGCTATTCTTTATGTCAGTATTGCTATGAGGGACACATCAATGTTGTCAATGATGTGTCAACAGTTACTATTCAAAGTGTGTTTACTAAAGGTGACAACGTTTCACAAAATCGCTGTAGTTCCAGGTGGCCTAAGAATTTGCCTTAAGTTGTCATAACAATGAGAAGAGTGAAGGGAAGGCTGGATTGAGCACCCCAAAAACATTGAGGAACACTTCATCAGGACCCTCAATCATTCTATTCCCCATCCCCCACATCTTCATGTTCAAGAGAGGCTCTTATAGGAAGTAGAAGGCAATACAGACAAGGAAGAAGTGCTTCATCCCAAAAGGAGAAAAGACATCAGCTCCGTTGGTGTGTTAAGCATTCAAAAATGACTCCCCAAAGAGACTGTACCCAAACTACAAGTTTGTGTGCAGAAATTTTTCAACTTTGCCACCACTGCCATTTTGGACCAGTTAATTCTCTATGGCTGGCTTGCACTTTGTGGGAAGTCTAGCAGCATCTCTAGCCTCTACCAAATAGGTGCCATTAGCACCATTCTAGTCATGACATGAAAATATCTCTAGGCATTGTCAAATGTCCCCTGTGATGCAAAATTACAGCATGGACACTATACCCCAGGTATAGCATGGACACTCACCGTTGATATAGAGGCTGTCTCTGTCTAGGGCATAGGAGCCCAGCCTGGTGACACCGTGGGTCAGCTGACTCAGCTCTTGGTACAATTGTTCTCTGTCTAGAGCTGGGCCCTTGGGATAAGGTTGGTAGGTGCAGACAGCATCCACTCCAGTGGCTGCCTCATTCTTCTTACTTCTGGAGTGATGGGGACATAGGAATGGGGACATGCAGAGAGAGAGATGAGAGAGCTATACACTCCTTCAAATTGGTCCCTCTTGGTTTTATTGTATCTTATATTTTGGTCATTGTCTGGTTCCTCCATCATATTCCTTTCTGGGTTCTTTGTATCCAGGTCTGCTCCACTCTGTAATAGGGTTGATCTCCAGAGCCTTAACTCAAATCAACTTCTCTGCTTTTGTTTTCCATTCTTCTAGGGTCATCTGGTTCATTTTCATTGTGTCAAATGCCAGCTCTGTTATCACGAGGCCCAATGTCACTCTGAATGAGGTGACTCTCCTGAGCTCTGTCTCGTGTAACTAACAGCTCAGGGATGTCTTTGAGACCCCTTGGATCCCATATATCCCAAGTTAAGCTTACTATCCACCCCCATTACAAAAGCTTTTCTTCTCCCCATGATTCCATGCCAGGATGAGAACCAGACATCAAGGAGACTCCTGGACCTCCCCCCACTTTTCTCTTCATGATCAAGGTTCTCCAAGCCCAGTCTGTCTCCCAATGGTCTATCCAACTTCTTCCCACCATCATTTTAACCATCCCTGCTCACAGGTGTGAGTGCTCTACTTAATATAAATCTCATCCTGTCAGGGCTGCTCTTCCAACAACATCATGGTTCTCCACAGTTTGAACAAGTATGACTGATATTTATGAAATGATTACTAGGTATTAGTATTTATGAGACACCTACTTACAGATGTTAATATTTATGACACATCTATCAGGTATACAACATTTTATATTTGTTATCTCATTTTATCCTTTGAACAACTCTGAGGTAGATGGTAATGTGATTCTCATTTTATTTTTAATTTATACCTTTATTGAAATATGACTTGAATAATATATATATGCATTCTAAAATGATTACTTGCAGAATTGAAGGAAAACTAGAAAAACCTTTTATAAATGAGGAGGGAAAGAAGGGTTGAAGGGAAGAGAGAGAAATGGGAAAAAATAGAATTAAGATATATTATGTACAGGTACAGATTCCTCAGGATAAATGTGATCATTATGTATGGCAAACATGTACTAATAAAATAAACAAATTTAGAAAAACAAAATAAAATGATTACTTATAGTCATGCTATTAACATATTCATTACCTAACGTAGTTTTGTCTGCAGTGTGTGTGTGTGTGTGTTGAGAACACTTAATATCTACTCACTTAGCTAAGTTTCAAGTATACAAAGCAGTATTAACAATAGTCATTCTCATTTCATAATAGAAAAAACTAAGTCATATAGACATTAAACATCTTATAGTAGGTGACAGAAGCAGGATGTGACTTCGTGCATTTGACTCTAAAAACACTAAAGACCCCTCATGCTTGATCTGGCTGCTGTGTAAAATATTGCAAACACTCCTTCAGGCTCAACTCCAGCCTGAACTCTTGATGGCTTCACTCATACTGTGATTCATCCTCTGCTCTTGCAGTTATGATCTGAGCTCTCCACTCAGCCAGTCCTCTAACCAACCAGTTTCCTTCCCTTCCTTCCTCCTTTTCTTTCTTTCTTACTATTTCCTCCATGCTCCCCTTCCCTCCTCCTTCCTATTTTCCTCCCTTCCTTCATTCCTACCCTCCTTCCTTCCTCCCTGCCTCCCTTCCTCTATCCCTTCCTTTGTTTCTAATTCATTCATTTTCTATTTTCTTCCCTTCTACTCTCCAATTTCACAAAACTTTTCTTCTGTACTGGGCTATTTCTTACATGCTCCATCACTCAGGACAGGCCATCCCTTGAAATAATACCTTTGCCCATCTTCTCTCAGGTCAGTGTACACTCAGCTATCAAAACTGGCTCAGCCGTCATCTTCTGCAGAGAGCCTCCACACAGCTTCCTTAGAGTGAGCTAAAATCCACCCTCTTTGTCCCGTGTAGTCTACTGGTCACACTGACCCTGCTTTCCTCTCTACATGGTGGCACTATTGAGGGAATGGCTCATGGTCAACTCTTTTATTGTCCTTCACACTCATACAGGAGGTGGCCTGAGGTACATCATTCCATGTTTCCTTACTGAGTTAATATTGCTCTTTTGATCAGTAAGCCTGAATGCTTCACACTTCTGCTTATCAAGTAAAAATCATTGATAGCCACCTTCTTCAGGAAGCCCTCTCTGGTACTCTCAGCCTAGGACAGTGTCTTCCATGTCTGGATTCCTGGAAAGTCTTAGACATTTATGATCTGTGCCATTTAGGTGCCACACATAGGTCCTCTCCTTCAGATGAGCTTCCCCAAGACAGTGCAGCCCTTCACGAGCTAAGGGAAGGAAGTCTCACCTGAGCAAGGTCAATCTACAGCCCGAGTAGCCAGTGCCGATGCTGGTGTTCTTGAACAAGGGCTCGAGCTGGGAGGAAGGCAGGAGATAAGTGGGGTAAGTCTAGGGGATTGGGTGGAGCAAGGACAAGGTGAGCCAGGGTAGGCACTGGTGGGCCCTTACCAGGTGGATCAAGACCTTCTCCGTGAAGTTGAAGTTCAAGGAGCCAGGGTGCCCCATGTCTGGAGTGTAATGCAGGTTGGTGATTGTGAAGTTGAGTGTGAAAGGCACCAGGACTGGGCTGACTCCTACAGCTAGAGAGAGGGGGGAGATAGAATGAGAGACAACCCATCATTGGGAGAGCCCATCAGTTTTAGTCCTGAGCAAGAGGTGGGACTGAGATTAATACCACAATCATGGCCACAGTGTCCAGTAAGTGAAGACTGGTATATCCCATTTGGACTACCCTTCAGCCAATCATAGGAAGAGGAAAGACCTCCAGGGTAGATGTGTAACTTTAGCTCGAAAGCAAACCTTACTCCTCAGCCCAGAATGGCCAAAGACTGGTGTTGATATCCCATTGCTAACAGGAGAAGCCAAGGGGCTGGTGGTAGAGAGCTTAGCTAGCACACACAAGGTCCTGGCTTTGATTCCTAGCACGACAAAGGTGAAAAATAAAGAGGAGGAACCAAAAACTTTATTTCTTGGGCTTTGAGGAGTCGAGAAGTCCAAATGCTAATAGCTACACTGAAGGAAATGAGCATAGAGAGAATAGAGGCTGGCTGCAAGTGGAACTTGTATATGGGGGAAATGTTACTTTATGGAAGGTGATCTGAGCAAATACATGCTGAGCTGAGCTTTGCAGGATCAGGAAAAGCCAGAAGCAACTGAAATCCAAGAACAGCAAGTGCCATGGCCATGAAGATGGAAGGATAATTGAACCATGGAGGAGCAGAAATGAGACAAGTGTGGCCAGGGAGGAGGGAGCAAGGGAAAGAGTGGACAGACAGGCTGAGGCTGGGTGGACATTAGGTCCAGATCATGCAAGAATCCATCAGCTTCTTAATAGGAGTTGAAGTTTCATGGGATCTAGAGATCAGATTCTTACCTGTAGAGCTGAGAGTAGGGGTCATGGGTGTGGGGGATTCTAGAGAAAATGTAAAAATAAAATTGCTAAATTGTACACCTAAAATGGTTAAAATGACATATTTTGCAACACACATGCATATACATATACATATATATTATATATAATAACAAAAAAGTTATTCTTACTTGTTCCTGAAGTCACAGTCTCAGAAGCCAAAGTATACATCCCAGGTGTGGTCTCTGAGGCAAATGGACTTCTGGCTATTGTAATACTGAAGTTGCTTGTGATCTCAGCTGTGGTGGGACTTGAACCTGTGGCAGCTAAATGAGTGGTCTCCACAGTTGTAGTTTTCAACATAGTGGTTGGACTCACTCCTTCTCTGTGACTGGTTGTAGGTAGTGTTGGGGTCTCCGATGTTATCAGGGTCATAGTGGGGCCTGCAACAGTTTTGGAAAAGTCTAGGAGTCCAGCTGATGTTGCAGGTGGTGGAGTTTCTGTGCTCCAGGAAGTTATGGCCTTAGGCTTACCTGTTGTTGTAGGGGCACTGGAAAGCCAAGGGATACTGGGGGGAACAGTCAGAGTTGGAATGCCTGTGCTGGCCTCTAGTGCAGGGCTGGTGACCCATAAACTTGTGGCCTCTGATCGACCAGAGAAAAGGGTTGCAGTTGGAGTCCTTGTGCTGGTCTCTGTCCCAGGATGAGCAGACAATGAAGCTGTTTCCACAGGAATACCAGGTGAAGCTGTTGGACCTAGATCAACTCTACCCAGCTCAGTCACAGCAGAGGTGAAGAGAGAAGTTGCTATCTCTGGTCCACCAGGGGAAGCAGTCTGAGTTGGAAGAGCTGTGCTAATCTCCACCTCAGGTCTGACAGATGGTGAGGCCATGGTCTCCAACACAGGAGGAAAAATAGTTGAAACAGGAAAATTTGTACTTGTCTCTGCACTGGGGTGGGTGATCATTAAGGCCGTGGTTTCTGTTTCACTAGGAGATACAGTCATAGTTGGAATTGTTGTACCAGTTGGTGGCCCAGTAGTGACCTGTGAGGTTACCACATCTGGTTCCCCAGGTGAGACATTCGTTGTTGGCACAGGCAAACTGGATTCTGGCCTAGGACTGCTGGCCATTGAGAGTGTGGTATCTGATTCACCATGCAAAAAACCGGAGATTGTTCTAGAAACAGGTGTACTGGTTTTTGAAGAATGAGTGACCGATGAGGTTGTAGCTGGTTCACCAGAGAAAACAGTAAGAGTTGGAACAGCAGGACTGCTCTGTGCCCCGGGATAGGTGACTGCAGAAGCTGTGATCTTTGTTTCATCAGGAGAAGGAGTCAGAGTTGAAGTAGCCGTACTTGTGTCTGTCCCAGAATTAGTAACCTGTGAGGTCACTGTACCTGGTATACCAGGTGAGATCATTGTAGTTGGAACAGGTAAACTGGTTTTTGCCCCAGGGCTGGTAGCCATTGAGGATGTGAAGTGTGATTTGCTCTGGGGAAACTCTGGGGCTGTTCTGGAAACAGGTGTCCTAGTCTCTGAAGAATGAGTGACCAATGAAACCATTGTATCTGGCTCACCAGGGAAAACAGTCAGAGTTGAAATAGTTGGACTGGCTTCTGACCCAGAATGGGTGACCCTTGAGGCTGTAGTCTTTGGTTCTTGTGAGTAATTGGTCAACTTTGGATAAGTTGTGCTTGTCTCTGTGACTAATGTGGTCACTATCCCTGGTACACTAGAGGAAACAGCTACAGTTGGAAGGGATGAACGTGGCTCAGGATGGGTGACTAATAAGGCTGTGGTTTCTGGTTCACCAGAAGAATGAGTCAAAGCTGAAGTACTTGTACTGATCACAGTTTTAGAACTCGTGACTAATGAGGTCACTGCCCCTGGTACCTCAGGTGAAATGCTGGGAGTGGGAACAGCTGAACTGGCTTCTGCCTCAGGACTGGTAGTCATTGAGGGTGTGGTGTCTGATATACTATGGGGAAAATAGAGGATTGTCCTGGAAACTGGTAGGCTGATTGCTGCAGGATGAATGACCCATGAGGCTGTTGTATCTGGCTCACCAGAGGCAATGGACAGAGTTGGAAAATCTGAACTTGCAGCTGACCCAGGATGGGTCATCCATGAGGCTGTTGTATCCAGTTGATCTGGGGAAACAGTGAGAATTGGAGTTGTTGTACTTGTTTCTGTCTCGGAGCTAGTGACCAGTGAGGTCATCTCTGATATGCCCGGGGAGACAGCCAGAGTTGGAATGGTTGAACTTGTCTGTGTCCCAGCAGAGGTGACCAATGTGGTTGTGATTGCTGGTTCAGAAGGAGTCAGAGTTGGTTTACTTGTTTTGGCATCTATTCCAGAAGTAGGGACCTGTGAAGTCACCATATCTGGAACACCAGACAAGATAGTTGTAGTTGAAACAGCTGAATTAGATTCTGTCCCAGGAATGGTGACTGTTGGGGTTGTGGAGTGTGTTTCACTAGGGGAAAAACTCGGGCTTTTCATGAAAACAGTCGAGCTGGTCTCTGCAGAATGGGTGACCAAGGGGAAAGTTGTATCTGGCTCACCAGGAAAGACAGACAAAGTTGGAGTGGAAGAACTGGCTTCTGATCTAGGATGGGTTACCCGTGAGTCTGTGGTCTGCTGTTGGCCTGAGAGAACAGTGAGAGTTGGAAACATACTGGGGTCTGTTCCAGCACTAGTGACCAGTGAAGTCAGCAACCCTACACCAGAAGTTGAGACAGCTGAACTGGCTTCTTCCCCAGGACTGGTGGCTGTTAAAGGTATGGTATTGGATTCAGTATGGAAAAATTTAGGGGTTGTCCTGGGAATTGTTGGGCTGGTCCCTGCAGGAAGAGGGACTGATGAGGCTGTTGTATCTGGCTCAGCAGTTGAAATAGACAGAGTTGAAACAGCTGAACTGGAATCTGCCCCAGAATGGGTGACCCTTGAAGATGTAATACTTGATCTAGAAGAAGAAAGAGCCACAGTTGGAGTACTTGTACTAACCACTGTTGTAGATCTAGTCACCAGCGAAGTCATTACTCCTGGGACCTCAGGTAAAACAGTAGAACTTGAGACAGATGACCTGACTTCTTCTTCAGGACTGATGGCTGTTAAGGGTGTGGCATTGGATTCACTATGGGAAAAACTTAGGGTTGTTTTGGGAACAGCTGACTTGGTCTCTGTAGGATGGGAGACCAGTGAAGCTGTTGTATACAGCTCACTTGCTGAAACAGTCAGGGTTGGAACAGAAGAACTGGCTTCTGACTCAGGATGAGTGACCCATGAGGCTGTGGTCTCTGGTGGCCCTGGGGAAACAGTCAGGATTGGAACCATACTATTCTTTTTTCTAGAACTAGTGACTGATGAAGTCATTGTTCCTGGTACACTAGGAGAGACAGTTAGAGTTGGAATGGCTGAACTAGTCTGTGGCCCAGGATGGGTAACCAATGAGGATGTGGTCTCTGATGCACCAGCAGAACTAGTTGGATTTGGAATACTTGTACTGGTTGCTCTTCTGGAACTAGTGACCAATAAGGTCACCATATTTGTTCCATCGGGTGAAAGAGTGGAAGAGGAGACAGCTGAACTGGTTTCTTCCACAGGACTGGTGGTTGTTAGGGATGTGGTATTGGATTCACTATGGGGAAAACCTGGGGCTGTTCTGGGAACTGCTGAGCTGGTCTCTACAGAATGAGTAACCCACGAAGTTGTTGCATGTGACCCGCCAGACAAAATAGTCCAAGTTGGAAGCGCTGAACTGACTTTTGTTCCAGATTGGGTGACCCTTGAAGCTGTGATATCCATCTGATTTGGAGAGACAGTCGGAATTTGGCTGCTTGTACTTGTCTCTGTCTCAGAACTACTAACCAGTGTTGTCACCATCTCTGACATGCCAGGTGAGCTAGTTGGACTTGGAATGGCTGAACCTTGTGCTCCAAGATCAGTCACCAAGGAGGTTGTGCTCTCTTGTTCATCGGGAGGAGTCAGAGTTGGTTTAGTTGAGCCAGTGTCTGTCCTAGAAGTAGTGACCAGTGAGGTTGTCAACCCTGGGATGTCAGATGAGACAGCAGTTGTTGGAATGGCTGGACTGGTTTCTGTCCTAGGACTGTTGTCCACTGAGAGTGTGGCATCCGATTCAGAACGTGGAAATTCGGAGGTTGTTCTGGAAACAGGCGTTCTTGTCTCTGCAGGGTGAGTGATCAGTGAGTCCACTGTGCCTGACTCACCAGAGGAAGCAGTCAGAGCTTGAGTAGCTGGCCTGGTCTCTGCCCCAGAACTGGGGACCACCAAGGTAGTGGTCTCTGATTCTCTACTGAAGGAAGATGGAGTTTCCTTGGAAACTATTATGCTGGTATCTTCTCTAAGACGAGTGGCCAATGAGGCTGTCATCTCTGGAACAGCAGGAGAAACAGTTGAGGTTGTAATGATCATTCCTTTTGGACTTGTACTGGCTGATGTTGGGACAATGAGTGTTCTCAAGGTGGGAATGGAGACTGTGGTGGTCACAGTGGCTGTGGAAGTGGTCTTCAGAGCCATAGTAGTGGTCTCTGCTCTTTCAGTTCCTCCTGTGGAAAGTCCTGGGAGTTGGGGGATGCATACAATTTGGACAAAATGATTATACTTACTAGACTGGTTATAGCTTATTTTTTTACACATGAAGAAAGGGAGCGAAATCTCTCTCAGTTACCTGAGATGTGTCTGGGGTGCTTCTGGAAGACAGATTGTGATTGGTAGTCTCCTACCTTACTTACCTGCCAATCTTGAGCTACAACTTCTCCTCAATGTGTGACCACACTAGTCTACTCCCTGTTTCCAAGTGTTCTCTGCACTACCCAGCCCCTCAGGCTCTTCTCTCTGCCAGACAACCCTACTGTCAGCGGATCCCTTCAGTTCTGCCCTAACTCAAACCCATGTTCAAATCCACTTTCACAAATCCAGATCTGAATTAATCTCTGCCTTCTCCATATTACCTTAGCACACTGTCAGAACCTGTATTGTACTGTCCTCTGACAGTCTGGATGATAACAGCTATTAATGTGTGCCTGCTGACCATACAGTAGGAGAAAGTTCTTGTATTATGTTCTTGAAAACTTGTGCTCTGGAATAAGACAGTCCTATACTAACATGCTCTTTTTCACCACAGAAATGTGTAGGTTTTTAAGTCACCAAACTTTATTATGTATCTATTTTCTCATCTATAAAGTGTAGCTAAGTACAGTGGCTGTCTCAGAGCTTCATTACCAGAGGTGGTCAAGTGAGTGGGACACTTCCTCCAGAAAAGGGTAAAGTAGCATGGACAGAGATGGCTGCTACTGAAGAGGGATTCAGAAAATGGTTCCTAAGGCAAAGGGAGGCAACTCTATGAACACAAAGGCTACTGTAGATTGGTGTAGAGTGGAGGAGGCAACATGAGGGGCATTTTACTCTGATGGTGGAGCAATGATGTTTTGAAATACACTGCATGTATTTAATGATGGTGCTGGTGGTAGTGGTGAAGAGGAGAAGAAGAAAAAATAATAGAATGAAGAAGAAGAAGAAGGTGAGGAAGAGGAGGAGGGGAGGTAGAATGGAGAAAGAGGAGGATGATGGGTGGAGGAGGGGCAAGGGGAAGCAGGAAGAGAGACAGGAAGAAGAGGGGAAAGAGAGTGAGGAAGTAGGGGATGAGAAGAGGGGATGTGGAAGTTGAAGGAGAGGAGGGCAAGAGAGGGGATAGAAGGAGAGAAGAAAAGGAATGAAGAGGGATAGGGGAGGGAAAAGGGAGGAAGAGGGAGAGGAAGGTGGAGAAGAGGAGAAAAAGGAGAAAGAGTGTTGAAGAAAAAAGGAGAGGAGGAGGAGGAAGAATGTTTGCAAAGACATTTTGTACTGCTGCTTTGATCCTCACAAGAACACTAAATGGCACACTGTATTATTCTCTTTATTTTCTAGGAGAGAAAGATGCAAACTCATCAGTCATAATTTGCTCAAGTCAAAACAGCTACCCACTGTGGAAATCTGAATATAGTTCTGTCTGTGTTCTAAACCTATACTCCTAACTACTGCATTATATTAATTCTCTAACTGAACTTTAGGATCGTAGGTCCAGTATGGAAAGAGAAGAAAATGTTCGTCTAGTGATAGGTCTTAACCAGCATTTTCTAGATCAGAGGTTTTCAATCAGGGGTGGGTTTGCCTCCAGGGAACACTTAGCACAGTCTGGAGACACTTGTGGATGTCACAACTGTGTGTGTGTGTGTAGGTGTGGCTGGCCAGGAGAATATGGGGATGTTACTACACATCCTACAGTGCACAGGAAGCCCCTTGCCACAATTGCCTGCCTCAAATATCAGTGACACAGAAGTTGAGGAACTCTGCTCTATATGAAATGAAGGCTGTGGCTACTGTTGACAAGGCACCATAAATTCAGTTGACAAGCCACCTGAATATCAGTCATCACCTGAAGTCTGGTGGTGCATATTCTGGTGACTTGATGCGGCTGACTGTCATCTCCATTCATGTCCACTCAAAGGGTGCACTACAGCTCTTATAACTCCACACTAGGAGCTCTCACTCAGCCTGTGTTGGGGGCAAACTGGAACTGCTGAGGGCTCCTACCCCAGGAGCACACAGCTCACAGTGGTGACAGATGAGAACTGGATACATAGCCCTGCCACCTTGCCCCTTGGGTAGGATGATGCTGAGTGTCCTACACAGTTTCTCAAAAGTCTTCAGAGGAATGGGTACTCTGTTGCCTACAACAGTAATTTCTCAAGAAAGCACCTTCTCTTCGATTCCTTCTCTTCTCTATCTCTTCCATCAGTGCTAACACCATCCCTAACGTAAGATAAATCACTGGTCCCTACATTGCTGATTCATTGCCTACTTTTTGGAATAACCAACGTAAGGTACTTGGACCACAGGATAAAACCAATAGCCTTATTTGGAGTTGACTCTGTCCAAAGCCTAGATCTTGGAAAATTCTTCGAAATGGGTTGGTAAAATAGGCTGATCTCTAAACAATTCCAGATGAATTTTATGAAGATGGGAAGCATTACCATTTCATTCCATGATAAGGAGAACTCCTTGCTATGTACACCCAAACTTTTAAATATTCATATAGAACAAGGAAACCATTAGGTGTCTTTCAGAGGAAAAGGTTACGCTGTCAAATAATGGTATTAAACCATGGGTTGGGCAAAACTAAGTGAGTTTCTTTACAATAGAACTTCTCACTGCCTTTAGTATGCCTATGCATGCTATGACTTTCTAAGAAAAAGCAATATGTTTGCTAAACTTTTTTATCACAAATCTGCTTGTCCTTTTGTTAAAAGATACCCAAGTATCACCAAAGCTTAGGAGATTTCCCGAATGTTGTTTTATGCCCACACCTGTCTTCGTCTCTCACCCATCCCCTTACATTTCACATTTGAGCAAAGGTGAATTTTTTTGTAATTCCCAAATATTCCTGGGTTTCATTCTTCTTTGTAGTTTATCATGCTGTTGTATTGTGCATGCAGAAAGTTTAGTAAACTCTTATTCAACCTTTAAAACCCAATTCACACATTACCTCCTCAGTGATACCTTCCCTCTATAGATCAGTACATCTCCATTACATGCTTTTAAAATTATATTATAGTTATTTTGTTCCTCTGCTGTTTTTCCTCTCAGACTCGGGGCTCCACAGAGGAAATGCCACAACATTTTCATCCATGCACCCTCGGCTAATAGTATAGTCTCTGACACATAGTTATTAATAAATATTTGCAGAGTTAAGCTAACCTGTGCCCAATCTGTTAGATTGATATATCTGACATTGAACTAGACTCACAAAACATGCTATGACTAAAACAAAAAGTGGTAGCCCCCGCAGAAATCTAGCTCAGACAGACAAACCCATGACAGTCACATATAGTTCTCTAAAGAAAGTAAGAATTTTATTTCTCTGGGACAGCAAATAAGGGCACCCTTGAGATTGCTAGGAAATAAGCCCAATCAAATCTACCTTTGGGACTAGCAGGCTCTGTAGGTGCCAGAGGTCCCTCGATGGGTTGCATGGTGCTTCCACGTGCAGCTTCACTGGGTAGCCATGAGTTGAGCTCCGCAATGCTTTTGGTTCCTGTAAGCCAGAGTGAGAAGAAAACTGGAGTAACTCATCTCATCCAGGAGGGTGTGCCATCTACATAGGCCCACCTCACTGACTGCCCCTCGGCTCCTCAGGTCTATCTATAGCAACTGGAGCCAGGGCTACTCACTATAAATGACCATATCCATCCATAAATCTGTGCATCTACCCATAGATGGGTCCATCTTTCCCCCCATCCACATCTACATCTGAGCATATTTTCTTCCTTCATTACCTTCTTTATCCTTTCATCACACTGACCATTCTTCAATTCATCTTGTATCCCTTATTTCCTTTCTTAATTTCTCTTTCATCTTTACTTCATTTGATCTTTCCTCTCACATTTTCTGTATTTATTTCAGACCTTGCTTCTTTTAATCCCTCCTTCTATTCATCCACTTAAAAATTTATCACAGTAAAAGATGCATTGTCATGGATCCCCCTCAGCACACTGCCCTTTGCTTCCAATGCACCTAATCTCATTGTTCTTGACGCTTCTGGAAGCAGTTCTGGAAGTCTTCTTTCACATGGTTTTATAAGGTGTGGTAAAAAATATGGTGAATGCTGCTGCTGAGTGCCATGCAATGAAAAGGCAAGCTTGTAAAAATATTATGATGTGTTCTCATCCAGCTTATTCAATGAATCTGGCACTATTTGACTTCTGGCTTTTCCCCAAAGTCAAAATGACCTTGAAAGGTAAATGTTTTAAATTGATTCAGAACATGGAGGCAGCCATGACAGCAGAAATAAAGACACTGATGAAAAAGAACTTCCAGACCTGCTTCAGAAAGTGGCAAGTATTATGGGATAAGTGTGTTCAAAGCAAGAGGGAGTATTCTGAGGGTTGATGGCAATGCAATTTTTATGGTCATAAAATTTTAATTCAAGCATTTACCATAGTTTTAATCACAACTTGTATTATTTTCACTATTATTTTAGGCATTGTTTCCTATGTCTCCCTGACACACCCTTCATTAAAATCTCTGAGGGTCTTCAAGTTGGCAAACAACTGTGGTATTTGACAGAACCTACTGTTTGTCCCTCACTCTCTGTCCTTCTGTGGCTTCTATGGTGCCAGAATCTTTTGCTTTTCTTGCCAATTTTCTAAACACCCCTGCTTAGCCTAATGATGGAGGGTAAGGATTTACTGCTGCATATTCTGCCTTCATATAGAAGACCTCTCACTTACTAGTTCATGATTAAACAAAATAACATCTCCTCATCTGAAACAGGCTGATCATAGTCCCTGATTTAAATAATATAACAATGAAGATCTAAAATCTCAAAACAGTGCTTGACACAGAATGAATGTTCTATAAGCCTTTGTAATCATCAGCATTGTTATTGAAGCTAGGACACCTATCACATTATTATAATTATTTGACGACTGCCTTATCTTTCTTTCCCCAGTGCACAGGGCAGCACAGGGAACAGGCATCAGATCAAGAAATATTTCCTAAAAGAAATTCAGGTGCAGGAATGAACTCCAAATTAACCCAATTTTTCTATAAAAGGAGGTTATTTCCCCTGAGTTCTGCATGCATGAGGATGTAGGAGAAGTGGGTCCTTACTTGTCCACACAGTTTTGAGAAAAGGAACTTTAAAGGACTTGCCACTCATCACAGGTGAACCTTGTCCTTAAATCTAGAGTTAAAAATGGGTGGCAAAGAGGGTAGTTGGGATAGGTTCTAGGCTCCAAAGATACAGGCAGAAAAAGGAAACTTCAGTAGTGCTATGGTCTGATTAAAAGCTGATATCCAATGAGTAGTACCTGAAGTACCATGAGGAAGAGAAGGAGGGCCTGTTTGGCTGCTGGGAGTCACATCAGCTGCTGCTGTAGTAGGCACAAGTGATGAACTCTGAGAAGGAGTAATTTGAATCTCCGCCCTTACAGGCTTCAAGGCTGTGAAGGATGCAGGGAGGCTGAGGGTTGAGGACAGAGACTGAGGGAGGCCCTCACTGACTCTGGGTCCTGAGGAGGAGACTCCAGTAACTGAATAAGAGGGTGGATGGGCCCATGTGTGCCGCAGATATATTGAAGGATGTGACCGACACTGCAGTGGACATCCTTCTAAGCTGGAGCAGTGAAGATGCACTGGTCACAGGGGGACATGAATGAAGTGATTCTGGCAGAGGGGTTGAGGATCCAGGAAGAACACTGGAAAATGTGGCATGCCACGGGGCGGACTTGGAAAATGGCCAAGCATTGGTTTGGACAGCAGGGGTAGCAAGAGAGGCAGTGGGGCCAGATTCCAGCCCCGACGTGGTGGCCTACACGCTGCACCAGGTCCCCTCTGAGGAGGAGGCAGGCTTTGTCGGGGGGGCCATGGGGCCCAGAGACCTGGCGTTTTGGGGAGGAGGGCTGGCTCCGGGGCTGCCCGTTGAGGTGGTCACGGTCCGGGGCATTTTTCCCGGCAATAGGGGGCTGACTCACCTGTGGATTGGAAACTTTGCCTGGTGGAAGCGAGTGTGGAGGATAGGCTACGTGTCCACGCGGTGGATGAGTCACTGGGAGGGGAGTCGGTGGCCCTGGTGATTGGTGGGGGGCTGGCAGAGGTGCTCTGCTGCACAGTCGCAGTGCTGGGGGCAAAGAATGGCTCGGAGGCTGTGCTGGACACAGGGCTGCTCACTGAGGGCAAGGAGCCGGGAACAGGAGGTGTGGCCGGCCAGGTGGTGGCTCCCGAGGCCGTGGTGGCCGAGATGCCCAGGCTGGGCAGAGCTGTCGAGGAGACCCATGTCGGGGCCATTTGGGCCACGCTGGTCACTGCTGCGGGTTCTGGCCCGGACGGGGAGGAAGCCGTCCTGGCCCTGGTGGCTCTGGTTTGTGTGGGCTCTGGAGTGGTGGACTGG